TAATGATGTATCATTTTTCTTGGGGTCAGACATGTATTGAAAATGCATCCACTTAATTTCCAATCAGTTTTAAAAACAAATGTCTTTTTGAATAAGACACACCTGGAAAGCCACTGGGGACTCACTTAAAATGATATTCTAATGGATAATATCTGGAAATCATCTGCATGCTTATTAATTCTCACAGTCAGCCCTGAAATTTGAACACGATTAATCCTACTTTGCAAACAAGGGCCTCAGAGGGTTTATGTCCCTTGTCTGAAGTCCAGCGACAGAGCTGGCATCTGTCTCTTTTAAAACTATTATCCAATAGTTGACATGTAAAGAATGTAATCATATACATACCCTGGTGTACTCAAACAAATTTTAACATTTTGCCGTATGTGCTTCAGTTCTTAAAAAGAAGAAACGACACTGGAGATACACCTGAAGTCCCCTGTGAAATTGCTGTGGCCACTTTTTCCCTTCTTCCTTCTTTTTGCCCCTAGAGGCAGCCACAGTGCTGCCAGTCATCAGGGCCGTGTTTGTAAACTCATCTTTTCTTTTTTACAGAACTTGCCATTCAACATGTTGCGTTTTTCACCCAACATTATGTTTTTGAGACCTATGTTTGTTGATGCTTGTAGACCTATTATAACTCACTCCTTTTAATGATTATGTAGCATTCCACTGTGTACTAACTGCAATTTATTCATATACATATATACACACACACATATATGCACACATGTCTATATATGTCGATATCTACATATACACACATCAGACATGTACACAAACATGTCTACATGTGTATACTCGTACATATGCACATTATATAGACATACATGTGTGTACATATGTGTGGGAAAAGAATTCTAGGCAGCGGGCATGGCAAGTGCAAAGGCCCCGAGGTGGCAATGAGCTTGGTATTCGTGAAACAGAAAGAAGGCCTCTTATCAGTCCTATTATCATCCCCATTGTACAGATGAGGAAACGGAGGCTTGGAGTTTTAGCTAATTTGCCCAAAGCCACACAGTGAGTGAGTGGGGGAGCCAGGAGGTGATTCTAGGTCTGTCTGACTTGAAGGCATATAAAGTTCTGTTTTGTTGATTTTTGGTCGCAGGAAAGGGTTCTCAACTATGCCTTAGGTTGCCCTTGACTTAGGAAAGTACCATCCTGTCTCAGAACCTCTTTTTTTCTGTCCTTTAAGCAATACCCACATTCTCTCTCATGTCCCACCTTGCCACTCTCCTCCCAGCTTCTAAGGAGGCAGGAATGAATAAATTCTGGGGTTCCCCCCCCCCGAAAAAATGTTATGCATATTCTGCAGAGAGCGATATCACCACCATCTCTCACTCCCCAGTTGAACCCTAGAAGTGTGGTGCTCAGAATTCTCCATATCCAAACTCTAAAAATATTTCCGCCCCATCTAATGAATGCTTTAAGTCAGGCAAGTCATCAACGCCAAACAAAATTGCTAGGTATTCATATTTGACATTTCCTTAAGTTTCTTGTCATTGCCTCTCTTGAGAAATGAACCCGCAGACACCGAGTTTCTCATTCTTTTCATACAGGTAGACTCCCCCCGTCCCCCTCAAGGCACCATCAAGGACACTTAGGAAATCCTTGGGATGAGGGAAATGTGTAAGCCATAGAGACCCACAGGGGACCGATGCCTGGGCATTGATTTCCTGAAAAAGAAATGAGAAGGTAGAGTTTTCAACTCTTAAGGCCTGCTGTTTGCTATAATTCCCCACATCAAAAAATCCTTTCATTTCCACAGTGGCACACTTTTCCCCAAAGAAACACGGTGGTGTTGACAGAGTCTGTGAGTATTTAGAAAGGGTGAATGAGCGAGGAAACTTGTCTATCACTGCCTGAAATTCCATTTCTCAGCTTTTCTCTCAAACTAACTAACCCAGGAGTCTGCTGTGGAAACCCAGCCGATCCCATTCGAGCTAGCCCCAGGGAACTTCATGGTCAAAACGTAAATGCTTGGGGGCGACCGGTTAGCTCAGTTGGTTAGAGTGCAGTGCTCATAACACCAAGATTGCCGGTTCTATCCCCATGCGAGCTGATGGGTCCTGGAAAAAACACATTGTTCCCCAATTAAAAAACAACAAGTCAATGCTTCTAGAAAGCAAATCCTTTCTGTCGATGGTGTCATTGGAGAGGTTTAAGCTCCTGGGTAGCACAAAGCTCATGTTTGTGATTCCAAAGCTTCTTGGTTATATATATATTCTTGGGGGGAGTCGTGTCCTGGACTTTGCGGCTTACTGTGCTCAAACTTGAGAGGATTTTGGGAGTGGCTGAGAGAAGGACACCGGTGGGGCTGTCTGACCCCACCGCTGACCGGTCTACTGGTGCAGAGGGAAAGGTCAGGGTTTCCAGAGGTATTCTCTGTGTCCATGAGGACTAAGAGGTCTCTGCAGGGTCCTTGGGAGAGGCAGCTGGAACAGAACACTGACGGGGGCGTTCTGAGTGTAGGCCTCTGAGTTCTGTTCTGTTGCCTTTACTTATTTTGTCTTTGAAAGTTAGTTTTTTCAATTATAAAAGTAAAACACACTTGTAGAAAAATTAAGTGTGATATCAGTGTATAGTCATATTATTAGCTGACTTTGATTGAGCATTCACTGTGAACGGGGCTCTTCTAAGCATCTTACACACAAGATTAATCACTTAATCTTCACCACCTCCCTATGAGATTGGTACTGTTATTTAAGAGCATCGCTGCTCAGAGAGGTTAAGTAACTTGTTTGAGGTCACACAGCAAGCGAGTGGTGAGCCAGCCCAGTAAACCAGTCTTCTTGTTTCCTGAGTTTATACATTTAGCTACTACTTACAAAGTGAAAGTCTGCCCAAATCCCATTTTCCAGAGAGGATGCAGTATCTAGCCTCACAGATGGTCCACATGAGCCACATCTCCTGGTAGTCATGCCTTTGTATAGTCCTCCCCTGGAGTTGGAGCTGGTCCTCTGACTTAATTTTTGACCAATAGACCATGACAGGAGTGACACTACATGTCCAGGTCATAAGTGGTCTTTTGAATACTTCTGTTGGGTGTTCCTTCTCGGAACCCAGCTGTGAGAAGCCCAAGCCACATGGAGAGGCCACGTGCTGGGACTCTGGTTGAAAGCCCAAGTGAGCTCGTAGCTGACATCCAGCAGCCATGAGAGCCATCTTGAGCCAGCTCAGTGGAACCCCTATGTGACTGCAGTCCCAGCTGCCCCCTGGCTGCAAATGTAGGGGACAGCCCCAGCGAGAACTACCCCGTTGAGCCCCACCAGCCCAAGCGCCATGATAAACAATCATCAATGGTTGTTTTAAGCCTCTGAATTTTAAGGTGGTTTGCTATGCTACAGCAGATAATCAGGACAGGGATTTGGTCACCATTTGGTGTTGACATCGCCAGGATATTTATATGCCTATAGTTATAAGGATAATTAGTAAAATGACTGTCACCGCAAAAGGAGATCTTACAATCATATTGTTGTGCAAGTTGATTTTTTTGTTAGAAATAAATCATGGATTCTTTTCCCTCTATGTCAATAATATTCATGAAATATTTATCCATGGCTGGACATTACTTATTTTATTTTCCGTTAAGCATCTTGGTATGTTTCTGTAGAAGAAATTCCCCCAAGTAGAAATGCTGGTTTAAAGGTTCACACACTAATTTCCCCTCCCCTCCCTGCCTCCCTTCCTTCCTATAGGTAGCTGAGAGACTTTGTTGGAGCTACAAGAGGGTTTAGGTTAGACACCAAGAAGAACTTTTTGATTGTAATGGCAGTTACGTGAACAGAGCAGGCCACTGACACCACAGTTGCTCGGTCCACACAGGCCTTCAGAAAAGGACAGAGAATACCTTACCCAGGCTGATTCAATTCCTGAAATGACCTCCTGCAAATCATCCTTTTCTGCATCCTGAATTATGTTCTTGTGAATTTCCCCAAAGAGAGCCATTCACCCCTTTAGCCATCATCCCCTGTGACTTACATGCATCCCTCCTCCTTCAGTTGCCTTTTGCACTAGAAGAGTCAGCCCTCACGTTTTGCAGACATACAGGACCCCCCCTGGCACCATGAGCAATTCCAATGGTGCTCCCCTAGCTGTTCCCAGGAGGTGCCCGAAGGACAGACTGGTGGGAAAAGCAACATCTAAGCCTCCCAAGCGAGCA